AAAGGGTGCTTCTACTAAATACTGAGCAAAGGGTCTGAATACTTATGACCATGTGATATTTCAGTGTTTCTTTTTTAATAAATCTGCAAAAATGTCAAAAATTCTGTGTTTTTCTGTCAATATGGGGTGCTGTGTGTACATTAATGAGGAAAAAATGAACTTAAATGATTTTAGCATATGGCTGCAATATAACAAAGAGTGAAACATTTAAGGGGGTCTGAATACTTTCTGTACCCACTGTAAGTATGTTGAGCCAAAGATGGACAGGACTCCAAATGCATACTTTTTCATGTTCACATACGTGTTGTGAATGGCACTCCATGGTTCAAAAACAAGTTTGTCGGGTTTGGGGAGGTTTTCAATATCATTCCATTTGTGCTGTTTAGCGAGATTGGCCTTCTGACGGGCGACTTCTTCAAGATCTGCTGTCAGGCTTTTGAACTTGGATACCCATAAGTCTTTATCCGCTATGTCGGCCAGTTCAATTTCAAGATCGGGCTGACTTATCTCTGTGAATGCGGATATGTTTGGCAGGGATGGGTTGATGTCCACGGTGTGACAGGGAAGGACAGAGGGTTTTTTCTTTCTGAACTCGCAAGCTTGCATTGCCATAATTGCAAGGTGTAAATAATCACAATTTATGTGATTGTTCTCCTCTTTGAACTCTCTCAGGGAGGGGAAGAGAGCGAGCGTACCTCTCTGTACATCTCTGGCAAACACTATCATCTTGCGCTCAAATGCCAGAACATCCTCCAGCAACTGCGGGGCCGTGCTTCCCTTTCCCTGGAGATTTTTATTCAGCGCACTTAGGTGACTTGTCATATCCATCATGAAATAAAACTTTTCCAGCCAATCGAGGTCTCCCAGTTTGGGATAGCTGAGGCCTTTGCTTTCCAAGAAGGTTTTCACATGTTCAAGACAAGCAGCGAAGCGTTTCAGCACATCTCCCCGAAGGGAGCCACAGCAAGGAGGCTGAAGAGCCACATGCGGCTCCGGAACCGCAGGTTGTCGACCCCTGGTATATACATTTTCTCTTTATTGTATTCTTATTGTATTTTTATTATATTTCTTTCACATGCTGAACTTAGATTGTTATTATTCATCTACTTTACATTTCACTTTGTATTGTTTGGCATTCATGTGGACGGCAAAGTAAGAATTTCATTGTGCAGGGAAACACGTTTCCTAACTGAGCATATGACAAACACTTTCACTTTGACAATGGTGCAGTTGTCTGCACACCAGCAAGTAACTTCATTAACAGATGGTTTGATTTATAACTTTTTTTTAAAAATTATCTATTTAGCTTTAGTGTAAAGTCCAGCCTTTATTCGTATTCCCTGAATATGTGATTTCTATCTACCTGTCTGTCTATCCATTCATCCAGTCAGTCCTGGAGATAAACTGAAGTGTCATGTTAACTTGTAACAGTGCATCATCAACATGTGTAACAGGAAATACCAGCACAGTCTGACAGGAAGTGTTCATACCATCTCATTGTAGGTGGGGTTACAGGTGCGTCGTGCTGCCTTGGTCTTCCTCTTGCTGGTCTTCTGAGGGTCTGGGAGCAGGTAGAGCTTCACGTAGGGGTCTGGGTCTGTCCCATCCTGCAGGGGCTGCTGCAGGTACCAGGTTTTGAAAGGTCAGGATTTGAAAGGTAAGCACGTCACATTCAGACAGCCAATCATCACATCAGTACCAGAACATGTGACTCCGCTGATGTTGACTGAGTGCATGCAAATGTAATCAGTTTGGAAAAATCATAAAATTAATCCTTCTGGTTTAATGTTTCCAACCCTGTGATGGGACCAAACGGCAACTTCCGAGACCATGAAATGACACCAGTGCGGAAGTACCAAAACCTGCAGTTCCTTGAATGGCCACTTGAGGTTGGCACCAAAAGGGAGTCAGTCCCAATATACTTCATGTTAAAATTAAGATTAACGGGCTAAAAGCTACACATAATTAAGGGTGTGGCCACTTTGAGTGACAGGTGGAAAGGTTCTGCCATAAGTGGCTGGCCACTTGCTGTCTAGGCATCTTCTTCACTCACGCTCTGCCTCTTTGCCCTTTTTTGGATTAGACATAGCAAGTGGAGTTAAGCGCTACCAATATGGTGACGGCCAGACTTAAACCTCACAACTGCTCTTAGAAAACCAACAGTTGAAGTCACAGTGGGTTTGTCCAGTTTTTATATATGGTCAATGGATGGGTTTGGTGTCCAGCACTTGACAGTCACGACTACACAGCTGAATCGACACTGATCACAAACATGTGTACAAAGACACACACTGAGCTGCACTGACCAGGCCTCGAATGTGCATGACCATGATGAAGAGTTTGTCATTCTTGTAGGAGATGGAGAGTTTAACTTCACCGAGCTCCTTCCCTGAAGCCGGAGACCACGAGAGCTCTGCAACACAGGCGACAAGAGCACAATAAATACACACCCTTTACACACAGAAAATACACACATTTTAGAAACAGAAAATACCTAAAAATTACAAATGGAAAATACACAAATTACCCATATCACCCACAAACACACTTTAAATACAAAGTAAAATACAGCTAAACACACAGGAACATGTATACAAACACAGAAAAACAAACATCAGATACTGAGCAAAAAACCTCAATACAAAAATAACAGGAACAGAACGTCTTAAGTCTAATCTTAAAAGTAGAGAGGGTGTCCGCCTCCCGAACTGAGACTGGGAGTTGGTTCCATAGGAGAGGAGCTTGATAGCTAAAGGCTCTGCCTCCCATTCTACTTCTGTGGACTCTAGGAACCACAAGTAAACCTGCACTCTGAGAGCGAAGTGCTCTGTTAGGATGATAAGGCTCTACGAGGTCTTTAAGATACGATGGAGCCTTGTCATTAAGGGCTTTGTATGTTAGGAGAAGGATTTTAAATTCTATTCGGAATTTTACAGGGAGCCAGTGGAGAGAAACTAATATGAGAGAGATATGATCTCTCTTGCTAGTTCCTGTCAGTACTCTGGCTGCAGCATTTTGGATTAACGGGAGGCTTTTTAGGGAATTATTGGGACATCCTGATAGTAAAGAGTTACAGTAGCCCAGCCTGTCATCTTCACTCCTGTCCCCATTGGAACATTCACTTTCAGTCCTAGCCGGCACTGCTGTGTGACAGACATGCTTTTTCTTCCCTGTCACAGAACTAGCAGAATCAGTACCACAACCAGAACTATGAGTTTTCACTGAAACACCAGACGCTTTTTGCAACTTTTCCACAGGGTCTGAATCTGCTGAAGCACCACCATGACCAGAAACACAAGCTTTATCACTGTGAGTGGCAGTCTGTGCCTCAGACTCCGCTTTAACGCCGTCCAAATATTGCTGTGCGCCACGACAGTCACTTTCACTACCGGGATAAGCAGAAAGTGAAGAGAATTGGACCTAACACAGAGCCCTGTGGAACGCTGTGACTAACTTCAGTTTGTGTGGAACATTCATCATTAACATGAACAAATTGAGATCTTTCTGATAAATAAGCTTTGAACCAACTTAGTGCAGTTCCTTTAATCCCAATAACATGTTCAAGTCTCTGCAGTAAGATGCTGTGATCAATGGTGTCAAAAGCAGCACTGAGATCTAAGAGGACAAGTATGGAGACAAGTCCTTTATCTGAGGCTAGGAGAAGATCATTGGTGACTTTCACCAATGCGGTTTCTGTACTATGATGGACTCTAAATCCTGACTGACAATCCTCAAACAAATCATTCTTGTGCAAGTGGTCACATAACCGCTTTGCAACAGCTTTTTCAAGGATTTTGGAAATAAATGGTAGATTGGATATTGGTCTATAATTAGCTAGGACACCTGGGTCAAGAGTAGACTTTTTGAGTAGAGGTTTAATTACTGCAAGTTTAAAAGCCGGTGGAACATAGCCAGTTAATAGAGAGAGGTTAATCAGATCTAGTATGGATGTGCTAATTAAGGGAAAGACGTTTTTGAGCAGCCTGGTCGGGATGGGGTCCAGGAGACATGTTGTGATTTAGATGAAGCAACTGTTGAAGTCAACTCAGAGAGATCTATAGGAGAGAAGTAGTCCAAGTATAAATGAGGTCTTACAGATGTTTCTAAAGCCCTTGTAGTAGATGGCACATCTGCGAGAGCTGTGGGAGTGGTCCGACCAATTTTTTCTCTAATAGTTGTGATTTTATTTGTAAAGAAGCTCATGAAGTCATTGCTGCTGAGATCTAAGGGAATGTTAAGCTCAACAGCACTGTGGCTCTTTGTCAGCCTGGCTACAGTGCTGAAAAGAAACCTGGGGTTGTTCTTATTTTCCTCAATCAGTGATGAATAAAATGCGGTTCTGGCACTATGAAGGGCTTTCTTATATGTTATTAAACTATCTTTCCAGGCTATGAAAAACTCTTCTGACTTAGAGGACCGCCACCTTCTTTCCATTTTTCGTGATGCCTGCTTTAGGGAGCGGAGCTGCGAGCTGTACCACGGGGCTAACCTCCTCTGTTTCACCACCTTATTTTTCAGAGGGGCAATGGTACCAAGTGTATTACACAGGAAGGCTGCAGTACTATCAACAAGATTATCGATTTGTGTGGGAGTAAAGGTAAGGCGGCCTCCTTCCACTGTGTTGGCAAACGGCACTGAAGTAGATAAAGACAGAATTATTTCCTTAAACTTGGTAACAGCATTGCCAGATAGACATCTACTGTAGTGGAATTGTTTCCCACATAGAGTATAATCCATTAATGGAAATTCAAAAGTTATTAGAAAAGGGTCAGACAGAAGAGGGTTATGGGGAAAAACTATTAAGTGTTCAGTTTCGATGCCATATGTCAGAACAAGATCAACAGTGTGATTAAAACAGTGAGTGGTTTATTTACAGTTTGAGAGAAGCCAACTGAGTCTAATAATGAACAGAATGCATTGTTGAGGCCATCATTGTCGGCATCTACATGAATATTAAAGTCGCCTACAATGTTATTTTATCTGTACTAAGCACTAAATCAGACA